ACCCCTCAGACCATGAACTAAATTTTGTTGCATAGTGTAAACGATAACAATTAAATTTACCAACAACATCAGTTGCCAACATAACGTATAAGTATTATATTTTTGGGCAAACATTTAATATTCCACATACGTCTGTTGGTCATAAACATTCGACAGGACTGGATCACAGCGAAAGGTTAATTTTTTGCAATAAAATTAACTTTCTTATCGTTGATTAATTTTGCCATTAACAATGGCAATGGCAACAAAAATTACCCGAATCCAACGATGACCATTTATTTGTGAATTAATTTCTAGCGACTCTGACGGTCGGTCGTCTATTCACATTGCGACATTGAAATAAGGCAGTGACGCGTGTCACAAATGGAAAAACCATAACAAAAAGGAAAATAATTTTCAAATTACTATTTGTTGATTTTTCTTGGACAACGGGAACAAAAATAATAACAAAACAACAAACAAAAACAAATAGTAATTTAATGGAAAACAAAGAGAAACAAATTCAAAGCGCATTGGAAACAATGTCTTCGAATAGAACAATAATTACATTTTATTATTTTCTTTTTTGTTTTTTTTGCTCATCCTTTTTCTTTTGTGCTTTGTGAAAGGCTTTCTATTCATTCTTCTCAATAAATACCAAATTACCGTTGTGCATGAATCACTGTGTATAGTAAGCCAGTCAGTCGCTCATGGAGAAAGGATGACTTGTAACAAAGTCATTGTTATTATCATGTTTTGTCTAAATAAAAACTTTTTGTCGTAATAAATTTTCAGAGGTTAAAGTTCAAATTTTGTTAAATTTAAAAACAACAAACAAATAAATAATTTAGAAACGTAAAAAAACAAGACCAGGCGAAAGATTTTTAATATACCTACAACTTTGTATATCTTCAACCGTACCGGTATATGGGCAATCAATAATTTGTCCTATGTAGACACATCATTATTATTGATTTCTTTGCTATCAGAAATTTAAGCACATTAAACCCCAAATTCCTCTTGATATTGGATTTTAAATTTTTTCAAAATGTTGACACGTTGTGGGCAAGGTACCAGAAGCCGTTTTTGGTTCTACAAAATTTATATCAGAGGGTAGCGAAAAGAGTCGACTGAGCAATATTTTTGAAAAACATATTTCAGACAAATTCGACATATATATGGCCTGTTCCCATACTGCAAGAATCGTCTAGTTTTTACTACGATAACAGTTTTTCCTTGATGATATCGGAAAAAATAGTAAAAACTAGTAGATTCTTGTAGTATGGGAACAGGCTAATAATGTACAATTTCATCGAAATTTATTAGTGTCCTTAGATATATGCTGTTCTGGACAAGGATCTAGTAAAAATGAAAAAGGACGATGAAAACATGACGGGGGTGATAGATACCAAGCCACGGATATGATTGGCTTTAAAATGGCAAAGCCCTGGTTTATATTGGTCCCTCTTTTCCTCAAGGTGTCACCTGGGGTAGCTACTTTCATCACCCGTTGGAAAATTTGTTGAGACGTCGCACAGTGGGTTAGAATACCCTGTTTCCTTGGATTAATTAAAAAATTGAATTTTAAGTATCGTTAAAATTTTTTGCACACGGTTAAAGTATATAAAATTCTACATCATTTGTCGTTGAAATTAATGTCAAAAGTGGACTGGTGTTTTTGTAGTGAAACTTCAAAGTCAAACTTCATACAAATTTTTGTGCCAAAAAAGGCTGAAAAAAGTGAAAACGTTCCCGTAGAAAATTTTATTTATTTTAAAAAGTATTGTAAAAGTTAAACATTTTTCAACGGAACCATGAAGTTTAGATTATTTTGCAAATACTTCGTTAACATTTGAGTATGAAATTGTGTTTGGAAGCGATTAAGATTTAGTTATTTATATTGAAAATGCCAAAAAAAATAATATTTTTATATTTTAAATGGATAAATAGTTATTATTCGTCCACATTCGTGTCATAATTTTTGGTTTATATTAAAGAGGACATAAATCTGTGTTATATTGCAAAATTTTACGCTGCCCTTTTGTGCCTTTTAGAAGCTATGCGTTGTTTAATACAAGTGTTGTAGCAGTCAAATTAGCTAAAAGTCACATTGATCTTGTGGCTGGTGCTGTTGTTGAGTGTTGTGTTTTCTTGTTTTTCATGTTATTTTTTCTAATTATTTTATTGTTGTTATTTTTGTTTCTTTTAATGATATTCTTTGTTACAATAATATTTTGTTTTTGTTTATTTTAATAATATTCATTGTTTTGACAAATAGTGATTGTGTTGTGCAGTTTCAAGTAGTCGGGTAAAAGCGTTCTTTATTAGCATTTTTTATAGGTACAAGTTCGAACGTTGTTTTTTATAATCGTCGAAGCTTGTGATGAATTCGAGCGCTCAAACAATGAATGACAAGATGACATTTTTAGCTAAAGAAATCAAAAAAACGCACCAAAACGCTAGAAAAATCTGCCGAAATAACAAAAATATATGTTAATTTAATAAAAATGCACGTGTCGGTTATAGCTGTATCCAGTGGCCATGAGATTAATAATGAAAAATTTCAAATATATGCACACAATACAGGACGACTTTTTGTTGAAACGTATCCTTTGTATAATATGCCAACCACTTTGCACAAGTTTTTTTATTCACGGACCCGAAATTGTGTCAAATGCCCTTTTACATATTGAGCAATTATCAGAAGTTGGTGATGCTGCGGACAGAGGTGGCCTGTGAGAAACAGTGACGTAAATGACATACACCCACTCAAAACCATTATGTTTTTAATTTTTTATCAGTTCTAGTAAAGAATAGCCAGATATACAGTAAAAATAATATATGTTCTTGAAAATGACTGTATATGGTGATAATATTGAAATAAATGACGTTTACTACATTTTATACAGGTATATGTCGTTTTCGACGTTTACACCTTTTTGACAGTCGAAATCCTGAAAATTCGTCATACGGACCATCCCCGGCTGCGGATGATGACGATGTGGATGATTAACTTTAAGATGTATAAAATTCAATGTTTAAGTTATCATATTGTACTCCTTGCACTATATACCTACACTGATATTTGGCACTACTTAATAAAATTATACTCAAATATACTTAGAAAACATTTTTTTTAACTTATTTTAATGGTATTAACTGAAAAATAAAGAAAAATTATTCTAACATAGCTTCCCTGATTTGATCCAAGAAAACATGGTAATCTAACCCACTGTGCGTCGGGTTAGTAGTCCATAATCGGAAAACCCCTCCTAATATGAAAAAGCAACGAAAAATAAAATCAAATCCCCTAATGTTGACCAAACCCTGCAAACGGCGTAAGTATATCATACTTGCAAGAAACGAGACATGAATTTGGCTGCAGATTTATGGTTAACAGGAGAATAAAATACCTCGTCTCCAGATTAACTCCAGTAGATGAGCGAATGGCTATCATCCGTATATAAGCGAAGTTCTTCCACATCAGTCTTATTTGTGAGACCTACTCCAGTCAACTAAACTTACCAAACTTAACTTACCCACCTGCTTGACGACGACTATAAAACCGCATTCAACAGCCCTATCCGTTCAGAGGTGTTTAAAGCCATGTCTGCAAAATAAATACGGCTATGCAGAATAACTTTAGCTGGCCGAACGAGGATTCAGACAGGGAGGCCGTTTTTCGAGTTATCTTTTTAACATCCTGCTGTTAAAAGTCATACGAGAGGCAGAGGTGAACAGAAATGACACTCTGTACACCAAACAACACATTTTACTCGCCTACGCCGATGACATCGACATAATGGGTCGAACATTGCCAGAGATAACAGCCACCTTTGAACAAATTGAAAAGGAGTCTACCAATGTGGGTCTGGCAGTAAATGGCGAGAAGACCAAGCTGATGGTATCAACGCGCAAGACGTCCAATAGACTCGGATAAACTGTGGAACAGGAGAACTACAGCTTCAATGTAGTGAACGATTTTATATACCTCGGTACCGCCATAAAGAAAACTAATAACATCAGCATTGAAATCCGGAGAAGAATAGTGTTGGCCAAAAGATGCTACAATGGTCTGAGTAAACATTTTAAGAACAAGGCCACTTCTCGCCAGGCCCATTGGCAAGTGGTACACACAAAATGAAACATTTCCCTAAATTAGACTATTTCATAGTAAATTATCGGCCAGAAAGTTGGGCTATGAAATTAACATACGAACAAATAAGCAGAACGTTGCCCGATATTGAACATTTTCGGGAAGTTATTTTTATCTTCCAAGAAACTGGCATGTCATATTACATGTTTTTCGATGGGGAAATGTGGCTAAAATCTTCAATATGCCGAAAACAGATGCCTATCTGTCTGCCCATGTATTATTTTAAAGAAATTACAAAGTCTAGAATAAATTGTGTAAAGTTTGTTTTAATGATATAACTCCCATTCATATAAACGTTCATATAAATGGAGCACTGAAGATGCTACGTCTGTCCAATTCACACTAATATTAGCATGGAGACCAATTATTTCGATATGTTTTTCTAGTCGCATATATGTTTTTTGAAGTTTGGGTCAAATTGTGTGAACCTATATATCCAACTTCATAATACTCCAATACTTCAATAAATGAACCTTCGGGCAATGTTTGCTGCTCGTAGACACAGCACCGAAGGTTTCGCTTAATCGATATATTGCAAATAAAAAATGTATTTGCGTTTATTTAAGGTTTTTTAAGATATTTGGGTCAGTTCTTATAAAAGTATCCCTATCTACTTTGATGTTTTGCAAAATAATCATGTCATATTTAAATGTAGACATTTATCGCTATATTGCAAGCGATTTCGCATGCCAAAATATTTGCGATTTATTATTAATAGAATCCAGTAAAATTACTAGTTTCACAAAAAAAATGAACTGTTAATTCTGCTGGAAAGTTATTCCATTCACCGTAATTAACACTCCATAAATCTTTCGCAGTCACTCCAACAACTGATGAATTTCTCTTTTTTTTTTTCCACATTTCATGCTGCAGGTCATGCACATTTGACTGATTTTAACATTGCAACAAGACTGGCCAAGGATGCTCTGGCGTGCAGTATGTCCGGCACCAAACCCTATATGGCACCAGAAGTATTTATGTGCGCCCTGGACGAAGTGGGTGAGTTCACTATAATTGCTTGGCTATCCGCAGGATAAACTTTAATTATTTGTTGACATTATTTACTTGCATTCATCCGAACTGACACCACTCTGGGCAATAATAATTTATCTACTCGTGTATGCTGGTATGTGTGTGTGTGTGTGTGATTTCCATCGTTTCCATTATAGCTGGCTACACATATCCTGTCGATTGGTGGTCACTGGGTGTTGTGGCTTACGAAATGCGGGCCAACATACGACCATTTTCGGTACACTCAAATACGGCTTTGGTGGATGTCAAGCACATACTAAGTTCGCCCGTACATTATCCACGCTATTGGAGTCCTGATTTTGTGGATTTATTAACGAAGGTAAGTGGCAATGGTGGTTAGTGCCTCGCCATTGAGGCAAATTAATTGTAGAGCGTAGTAATTTTCTGTGCCATTAACTTTCAGTTGCTGTGCGTACATCCGGGTGGTCGCATAAGTTCCCAGCAAGAACTACAACAAACTCCACTGTTGCGTCATATCGATTTCAAAGAAGTGCTGGAGAAAAAGACAAAACCTCCCTTTAAACCCCCCGAGGACCATTTGAATTGTGATCCCTGCCTTGAATTGGAGGAAATGATTGTTGAAACCCGCCCCCTACACAAAAAGAAGAAACGCCTCGCCAAACAACGTTCAGCCCAGCGTGACAGCGATCCCGAAACGGCATTAGTCAAGGAATTCATTGTCTATAATCGTTTCAAGGAACTCAAACGTAAAGACATGGAGAAGAAGGAGCGCGAATGGGAACGTGAACTGGAGGAGGCAATGGCAAATTCGGTTGTCACGACATTGGCACCCATAATGGAGAAGCCTTCCGAAACCCTAACTGTGTCTTCCATGCCGCATGCCGAAAACGCACCAAATGACACCATGACAAATACGACGAATAACACGAATCGACAATCGTCAAAGAAATCGACAACAATGACAACGCTTAGTTCCAGTTTACAGATGTGCTCCAATTGTCAGAGATCCGATTCGAGAAAATCGAAAAACGCAGAAAGTTTAGAATATATTGATCGTTCGCCGTCACCGAATACCATCGGTGGTGCAACGTAGTGAAATGGCGGCTAATTGTTTTCCTAGTAAATGTGCATGTATGACAAAATATCCAACGGCCTCTGTGAGAGTCTAGACGAGCACAACACAAATCAAGTCTAACCGATCAAAGATCGAATTAGGTTTTGAATTTCTTCCCAAACAGGTTTCAATTTAATGTCAATTTAATGTCAGAATGTTGTTAGGAGCATGTACTATCGAATCCCCAAAACTTTTTAATTCTACTTTTTTGTTCGTCTGTCGAAATTACGTCAAACGGCATGTACATTAGATAATTTTATATTCAATGGAATTGGCAATTTAAACCCACTCGGTTAACCAAATCCAGTACAATGCAAACGTACTATTGGATTTCAATTTGTTAAAGGTATATGATATACATTGATATATCAGCTCTTGTCCTTTAATCAAAAAGTTGAATATAAACCCGAATTTCTAAAAAAAAAACTCTCAACAACAGATGATATTTCAAGGATGCCATCATGTTCTATTTCAAATCAAATATAGTCATATATTGGAACTTTCTGTTTCAGACTTGAGTTCTTTGATTATAAAAACCGTTATTTCGAATGAAATGTTGTTGTAACACACCCTTTTTTCTAAATTTAGATTTTTTAATTTCACTTTTTGTCCGATATGTCTATTAAAAGAGATCTAGGGATGTCTGACGATCAGACGGAATATTTGAATTTGCGGGTCCAATGTTGTATCCCTCTGTTTATTCCAAAATGTCATAACTTGTGATGGGCGTTACCTTCTAAATGCGGACTAAAACCCGATAAATAACGAACCATCGATTCTGGTACGATTCCCCGTTAGCTTTGTTTCCTGAATCGCAGCGACTGTAACTCTTTTTCGACTCCATAAATTCCAGAATTTCGCTGGTTTCTATCAATTCGATACACGTATTCCAATGTCTAGACCGAATACACTAAATGATCTGAATAGCCAACACACCTGACCTGACAATTTCAAACTTTATGTTCCTTACCCAAATATTTTAACATATTTTACAATTAAAATTTACTCATTAAACATCCACAAATATTTACAAGGACATTAATACTCCTCATATATTTTCACTCTCGTGAAAAATGATTCTTCCCCTAAACATTTCCTAACATACTACTTCCCAATAAACTCTTAAAACGAAAAATCAAAACTTCTCCAAAAGATTACAAAACGAAATCAAAACATGAAACCATGGTTTTTAAATGAAACCCAGTTAACAAAAATATCAATTAGTATACAAATTGTAAAAAAACCAAACATGACCAAAAAACAAAGATCACAAATAAAATTGAATTAAACTTCTATGTAAATTAATGAATTTATAAATGTGCACCCTATATTTGTTATATACGAGTATAACATACACATACATTAAAATGTATGTACAAGTATTTATTTGTAATTTTATCTGTAGAAAATCAAAAGAAAAAAACCCCAGCACAATATTTGTATTAGATTAGTATTAAGGCGAAAGAAGACGAAAAAAATTACATTGAATCTAATGAAATTCCAAAACTTATTTTTTAATATTGTATGTATGTTTGTAATAAAAACAGAACTAAGAATAACTGTGCTAAGAGCTATCTATTTATTTATTTAAAAATACATTTTGAAATAACAAGTGTCGTGGTGTTTTATTTTATTTATTCATATTAAAGGTAAAGTATAAATAAAACATGTAAGGAGGTATAATTTCCTAAAAACTTATGGACATGACATGTTAAATGAACTTTTTATACCTTCTATCAGTAGTTGGGCATTCATATGAATGGAAGATATTTGCGCCAGGAGTTATTTATCTATTGCAACTGCCAAATTGGGACAATTATCAGCCTTATTCTGGATATTTGCTAGGGAGATATCTCGCATGTAAAAAAAATTCGCTTTCACATTCTCGCCTTATTCTGAATGAATAGGGAGATGCAAAAAATGTGAGATGCGGATTCGAGTTTTCGAAAATGGTGGTTGAAAAAAAGATTCGTGTTGCCATATCGTAAATTAAGTTGCAATGTGTGTGGCCATATTGTAATTTAAGTTGCAATGTGTGCTGCCCCATTGTAATTTAATTGTGTAACATTTTTCAATATATTATTTATTGATTTTTGTTATTAAAAATTGTTAATTTTTATTGTTATTTAAACTATATAGCAATACAAATGTGAAATATCAAGAATCCGCTGTATAAATGCTTTGTAATTAAAAGAAAATAAATTAAAGTTTGAAAATATGGCAACCTACAATATGGCATGTGAAACAGCTGTTCATTGTTTTGATGCAATTGTTGCAACAACTACAATAGATTACAAATAAAATAAAATTTTTTATGATGGCAAAAACACAACGAATAATAGGAAGGAATCTGCGATTTAATTAATTAATTCACAGTTTATTATTTCACTACATAGTTGTGTGCCTTTTTATTTAATTCCGATATTTTATCTCCCCAAATTTTTAAAATCATAACATAGATTTTCTTTTGAAAAAAAAAATTTTTTTTTTGTTCTTTCATAATTAGTATTTCAATTTTTCACTGTTAAGCGGCTCATCAGGCAAATTTGGGTTTTTAAAATTTTTTCTTGAGAGACAGATCCTCACCCAAAATGTCTGTATTTCGTCTCCAAAAATCAAACTCGACTTAAATATGCCTTATTACCTTCATACATTTCTTGGCAATACTTGGTTCAGCATGCATCGTTATCAATGGGATTTCCAATGGCATTTTATTGGTTGTTTTCCAGTTAAATATTTGCTTACTATCATTTATAATATTCTAAAACGTCATAGAATAAGTATTGTGTAAATATTTTTCATAAAAATAGTTATTACTTATGTTTTTGTAGTCAACTCACTTTAAATTTATTAGCGAAAAATTTCGCACAAAATTTCATCTCATTCTCCTACTCCCTGTAATTCAGAATACCTAATTTTTCCCCAAAGCGGATTTTTTCGCTTTCGAACTTCATTCAGAATAAGGCGAAAGCGAGAATGCGAAAAAATTCACAGGAAAATGTTGTTCAGAATAAGGCGAACGGAAAGAGCGAGTAAATTCACATGGAATTGACATCCAGAATAAGGCTGTATATGTATGGATATGAAATCAAATACGACGTCTAAGAAATTAACTGAATATATACTATATCATATACATTTTCTACCACAATATGAGCCGAATAATATTTTATCTGTCTAATTTAAGAAGAAAAAAGAAACAAATCGTTCATGTTTTTTTGTTTTTTTGTAGCAAGTTTATTTTACTTTTAATTTATTATAACTAAATTCAATAATTTACCTTAGTATAGAATGAATATGCTATAGCACATATACGGACGAATTACTCTTAGGATATTCATTAAAAGTAATTCAATTCAATGGACCAACGTTTTAAAACAACATTGGCGGGTAAAGATCGATGATTTATTCAATATGAGATTGATTATTCTTATTAGTTTCAGTTTTTTATTCCTTAAATACAAGACGGAAATCCAATCCGATCTTATACATATTTGTGTATTCATATATATGTATGTATAAAAAGCATAACAAAAAACACACACATGGCAATAATTGTTCAAAAAAGTTTCTATATATATTTCATGTTTTAATTCAAGTTTCACAAGTTTTGTTTGTTTAAATTTCTTTGTATAAAAAAGGAAAGTAATTTTTAGTTTATGTTTTGTGTAATTATAAATTGTTTATGTTAAAACAAAAAAAGAAAAAAGAATGGAGTAAAGTGAAAGTTATGATGGGGAAAAATAAACGAAAAAAATATATAAAAATATTGTAGAGAATTTCTTTTAATAAACAAATTAAAAAAAAATAAAAAATACGGTAATGTTAAAAAAGTAACATAATCGATGATGATATTCGACATGTTTGCTTTTTTGATTCTTTATGAACATTGTTGTTGATGTTAATTAGTTCAAGATTTTTTTTTTTTAATTTTTAATAATTGAGTTGTTATTTATTTTTTTTTTCATGTAGTTTTGTTCATTTCTGAAGTTTTTCTTCTTCTTTTTTGATTACAAAATAAGTATCAATTGATGTTCTTCTTTTCTTTGATGTTGTTAAAATGTTTAATGAAAATGAGCGCTTAGCAGACACAGATACGCAACCTAAGCCGACAGCTCAGCTGTCGGAAAAAGCGTATTGCATCTGCATGAGACGCAGCAAATCCATTACAAATAATAGTTGTTGTTTGGTGTTGTTGTTCAACGGTAGTGGACATTTGGAGAGCGTGTATTTTAGCGTTTAGCAATAATAAAAAAAGTAATCAGTTAATAATAAAGAAGTAAATAATCATTGATGCCAGCAACATTATAAATAATCTAACCATGTGGAAATCATGGAGGCAAATTCCACACTTTAGGTTTAAAACAAACAAGGAGAGTATTGATCAAATTTCTAACAAAACTATTGCATCATAATAATGAACAGGACGATAATCAGTAATAGCAATTACATATAATAAATAATGAAAAAGTAAAATATATATCATTATAACATTAGTTATGTATAATTTGTAAAAAAAAGTATCAATAATGAAACAAACAAAAATTAATAAATGTTAATAGCATTTGAGGTCATAATAGGCATTTCTATACGTCGTTCATATTACACGCTGGTTATGAATGCTAAAAATATATTTCTCCATTTGAGGCTAAAATGCACGCTTCCAAATATCCAAACCAAAAATATAGCCGTTTTAAAACAGCTCGCATCTCACACTATACCGTTGTGGTATCGACAGACTCAATGCGTGCCGAACTGGCATCACCGCCAGCGGCTGCCTCACCACCGTTAACAGTGGCATCGGCACCGGCTCCAGGAGCAGCATTTGCGGAATCACCGGTTTTCTTTGCCGCCTTATCGTACTTGATCAGCTGAACATTGACATTAACAACTTTGGGTGCTGCGGTGTTGTTGGCATCGGTTGCACCGCCTTCTTCGCCGCCATTTGTTGCACCACCTTCAGCTGTGTTCTTTTCGGGTGGTGTAACGGTCAGCGAGAGGTTGTTCAAGGATTCCAACACTTTGTTCATATCTTCTTCGGTGCTGGGAGTGCCATTGCGATTGCCAAAGTGTAAATAGCAACGACCATAACTTCCTGCATAGCAAAAAAATAGAAACAAATATTAGTTGCAATTGAAATGGAATGTTGAATTTAATATTTGGTCGTTTTTATTGACCGCCTTACCCTTCCATGTAATAGCCAATGGCTGGCATTGACGTTTGCGCAATTCAGTCTTCAAGTCCTTGACGCGCACTTCACGTGAGATATTGGTGAGTTTAACTGAGAAATCACGTTTTGGACGGTTTCTGCGTTGTCTCAGTCTTCTGTTTCCACCATCGGATTTGCGTTCTTGGCTCTTGGATTCAACGCCAGATTGATCACCTTCGGACTGTAAAGGAAAACATTTTCAAATACAATTAGTTTCAAAATTATACAATAATTCTAATATTAAAATATATTTTTACTAAAACACATTGTAATCACATGAACATTTATATGTCTAGGTCTATAATAGCCAAATATGTAATAATTTAGCTACTATTCAAATAGACAACAGTTTCTCTACCAACAGAGGGGCATATCGGAGTAATATTGAATAAAATTACTCTAAAAGTATATCTGTGGTTAAATGGGTATTAGTGTAGAAACTGGTACTGGTCGCATGTTACTAATCAAATGTATGTTTATGGTTGAAAATATCTCTATCCAATATTTTAAAGTTATTCTTCAATAAACAAGATTTTATTAATCTTCCATCAGAGGGGCAAATCAGAGTGATATTGAAAATAAACACTCCAAAGTATATCTGTGGATCACGACCTAATCCTTACATGAGTATGATTTTTAATTGAAATCATAATGCTTGTGGTGTATGACTGTGGTTATAAATAAATGAAAAGCATTGTTTCAATTATTCTTCAACAGTCACGACATTTAATATTCCAACAGAGGGGCAAATCAGAGTGATATTGAAATAAACACTCCAAAGTATATCTGTGGATAGCAATCGAGACATTAATCTAATTTTCAAAAATAAAGTATATATTTATGGTTAAAAATAACTATGAGAAATATATAAAGTTATTCTTAAAAAAACATGATTTGTTGATCTGTCTTCAACAAATTATGTTTTGGAAAAACGCTCCAAAGTATATATGATGATTTGATGTTCTTAATGGAACATAAATCATGTCTATATCAAAATGTAAGCTACACGAATAATACATATTTATATAGCATACGTAATAAAAAATATACGAATGTACATCTATGGTTAAAAACAACCTGAGGAAAATTACTCAAATTATTCTTCAATAGATGCATACATGTTACTCTACCAACAGAGGGGCAAATCAAAGTGATATTAAAAAATCACTTCAAAGTATATCTGTGGCTAAACATTCAAATACACACACACACCAACGCTACACCTTTACACAACCTACCTTTGTTGGACGCCTGCGGCGGTTAACGAAACGTCTTCTACGAGAGGGATTGCGTTTTTGCTGTTGAGCATTATCGCCTTGTTGTTGATCGGTGGCATTATTTTGCGATACAGTACGGCGTGGATAACGTCCACGATTGCCGAAACGACGACGTGGGAAGCGGCGGCGATTGCGACTGTGCTCAACATCTGTATCTTCTTCCTTGAGTGTGATAATTTTACCTTCTTTTTCCTGAGCTTCTTTAAGCGATTCAAGTACAGGTACAGCTTTGAGGCGGCGCTCAGAAATCAATTCCCAGAACAAACCAGTGGGACGTGGTGGACGTTTGGCAACACGAATTACCTCAGTTGGTGTTACAATTAGGTCAACAGGTGCATCGTGTTTCTGGAAGAGATTTGTTGGCAAATTATCAACAACCTGAGCGTCATGGACCAAGGTGACAATAAGTGTGTTTGGTGTAATAGCACCAGCCTCAATGAGAAGGCCAATATCCAAGTCAATGAAGCCATTGCCACGACCAAGGCGATAACCATCACGAGATACGACTACCGAACCAATGATAACCATATCCAAAACAACTTTGTTGTCAAGACCTATTTGTATGTACGAAAAACAAAAAAAAAAACAAAATATTAGTCGCTGAAATATGGCAGCAAATTTAAGGGATCGAACTTGCCGATTTCGGTACGATATTCTTCGACATTTCTGACGTTCAAAATTTCATTCTTTTTCTCGTCGTCAGCCTCGGCTGGTACTTCGACCTTCAAGAATAATGCTTTGCTTTTGCGAGTGCTGGGCAAATACAAATTCTTGCCAGCATTCAATGTTTGCAATTTGGCGCCATTTAATGCACGATCAATTTGAATTTTGACTTCCTCTGTAAAAAAAAATAATCATGTAAAGCCGTTAATAAATCATTCTAATCGTACACAGTCTTGAAATGATAAATTACTTACTGGCTTTTTTAAATTCTTCGGTTTCGGTCAACAAAGTGACGGCCTTATCGCTGTCCACAAATGCGGGCATACGATTGAAAATTCCGCCTCTTTGAAGACCTAAGTTTGCTTCTTTGAATTTCTTCCAAGTTTGTAGGCGAAGTGAACGCTTGGTTGGTTCCACAGATTGAGCTGAAAAATAGAAGAAGAAAAATTATAATCACATCTGACGGAAACTTATAAGCATAATAGAAATTCGTTTTGTAAGGGATATTTTAAAGAAGTAAGATAGTAACAAGATACGGAACCAATGAAATGATAACGAGAAATATATTGATTTAGTTTTTATTATCGAATCTGCTACTCAAAGAAAATAATATTCAGTTTGAAGAAATGTATGTGTTTGTACGCCTATGATTTAAACTAACCAGAAATATTACCCCAGGCTAGTTTTCAATAGACCGTAATTAATATTCCATCAGAGGGGCAAATCAAAGTGATATTGAAGGTTCACTTCAAAGTATATCTGTGGGGATTAATGATATATTCAAAACATTAACCTCAATGTAAAACAATATAAAAACATGATAAAAAAATGTATGTCTATGGTCAAAAATAAAATGACAACATATAGATCAAATTATTCTTCAATAGACAAAGATTTAATTTCCCATCAGAGGGGCAAATCAGCGTGATATTAACAGATCACACCAAAGTATATCTGTGGGAGGAGAAATCGGATACTAAAATACATTTCTATTGATATGTATGTCTATGGTTAAAAATTACACGATATAGAAGATTCGTGCCATTCTTCAATAGATATTGTTTTACTTTTCCAACAGAGGGGCAAATCAGAGTAACATTGAAGATTTACTCCAAAGTATATCTGTGGTTATGTAATTACTAATGAAATCAGTGTAGATGTGGTCCAATTTAATTAAAAATACAACAATTTAATTCACTGATGTGTGCTTATGGTTTAAAATAACAGGAAAGTCATTTACTCCTGTCATTTTTCATATAAGCATATTTTATTATTCCAACAGAGGGGCAAATCAGAGTGATATTGAGAAATCACTCCAAAGTATTTCTGTGGATATGAGGGTACGCGGTCTTAAATGCAAATAAAAAATATCTAAAACAATAATTTTGTATGGCTATGGTTAAAAATAACAAAATATAAAAGGTTCTTGTTATTCTTCAATAGGCAATGTTTTAATTTTCCAACAGAGGGGCAAATCAGAGTGATACTGATGAATCACACCAAAGTATATCTGTGGATCTTATAGAACAATAAATTAGCTATTTGGTTTACTTTTAAAAATCGATCAAAACGTTAGAATTTGGAAAAAAGCAGCCCCAAAAAATATATAAATAGTAGTTCCCACAACAACAGTGGTTATCAATATAACATCATTTTTATTTTGTTTTTATAAACAGAATAAAATAGCTATAATTTTGTGATTGTGAATACTGGAAACATTTTATCATTAAATTGTGTCAATTAACATTTTTGTCAATTACTCATTCGTATTTAAATTCCAATTGAAATTAACTGGACTAATTTCATTATGAATTTGTGGCAAGTTTAAGATCAAGCAAGCCATAACGATGTGTGTCATCATCATCTTTTTAAATGGGAAAGCAAAATTTTCTGTTTTCTTTCGTTTTTTTATGAATGTCTGTTTGAATGTCCGTCTTAAAGATGTTAAACCATTTTCACATATATATTTTAGTTGTACATGTATGTGTGTGCAAACTGAATATTCCACTTATAAATCATATGCATAAATGCTATGATATCATTCGAAATGCTACAAAAACAATATGGCAAAATAAATTCATACATACATATTTTTTTCATTTCTTTCATTTTCGAATGAAAGAGCAAAACAAAATAGTAATACACAGAAAAGAAAAAAAACTGCTTGTTAATGAATGACAGACAAACTGACAGTCATACCCGGCAGAGAAAATCACTATAGAGTAGATCGTAGAATTAAAGAAAAACCAAAATCGAAGAATATATGGAATTGATTGCAATGCTTAGATAAATAGATAAATACACCAATGTATGGTGACGGTTAGCTAGCTAAGACGAATGGATGGGTGGATGAGTCAAAGTTGTTTGAGTTAATGCAAACATTTCGTTGTGCTGTTGTGTTTCAAAGCTAAAAATAAATGTTAACACCACATAAATAATACTACTAGCAGCAGCAAGTATCTAAAATGGAATGCAGTACATGACAAAACAAAAATGGAAGAAGAAAAGAAAAATGGCAATAGAGAAAAAGGCGCGAATATTCAGCCAAGTTTAATCAAAAAAAAAAATTGTCAATATTTGTTAGCAATCGATAATAAATCTTAACATTTCAAAATCAGAATCTGCTTTCAATTATCCACGATGAACACAATGTATCAAAGGTCTACAAATGGATGACCATCTTATTCGGCGGTCGTACATTTTTTAATAATAATATTCATTATTATAATTATTATATATATACAGTGGTGGTCACAGAATTAAAACATTTACTGTGGTAAACATTTTTTGATCAGCCCTCCATTCGTTTGAAGTATTTTTGAAAATTTTTTAATTCAGAACACTTCGATATACTGCACTTAAGAGATTTAGTGTGAAAATCAACATAGGCGTTGATCTCTGTTCTTTCTGTTGTGACTGGTATATTTTTTGATAAAATATATTCTGTACTACTCGAACAATCGATTTGATATAATAAATGCCAATATCAATCGATATTTCCTCACATACTGCAAAAATATTCCGGCCTTCTTCAATAAAGGCTATCGAAATTGAATCGTTCCGTTAGGTTAATTCCAATTTTTGGAGTTTTTATTTCAAATATTTATTTATTTAGAGAATTATTTATTGTTTTCTACTAATTCTAGCAATTTCTGGTGCATTCGGAACTTTATTTTCTATAATAAGGGTTATTTTCTGAATGTAAGGTGTACTGTACAAATTTTTGGCAATTTTGATAGATTTTACAGATTTTTTCAAAAATTTTTATCAGTAAATGATTTTATCGGTGCTTAGTTTACATAATTTAACTAAGTTAAAGAGCTTTTTTTAAAAATATTTTCAAAAAATGCAGTAAAGTAAAAAATTACACAATGTTTTAATTATATGGCCACTTCAAAGTCGATGTATTTTCATAAAAACCGTTATTTATGGAAAAATTGCATGCAATAATTTTCCATTTTCACACTAAATCTCTTAAGTGCAGTATATCGAAGTGTTCTGAATTAAAAAAATTTCAAAAATACTTCAAACGAATGTAGGGCTGATCAAAAAATGTTTACCACAGTAAATGTTTTAATTCTATGACCACCACTGTATATATATATATATATATATATATTTTTTTATATTTCTTCCCTATTCTTGGTTCTTGGGAGAGAGAAGTATAAAAAGTGACAAGGGGCAAATGCAAAAGAGAATCGTAAAAAAGCTGCAGCGGAGTTGCCTACAAAAGTTGAATGTGTTAACCCTGAGTTACTTTGATTTTTAAAAATGACTGGAAAAATATTTCGTGAAAATGTGGAGCAATGTTTTTTTATCACATTTTTAACTAGCATATTTTATTTGGTAGTAACTAAGAAAAAACAACCTTATTCAGAATGTATTATATAAGAGGAATATTTATTTTAAATTGTAATTTGTATGTAGTACTACAAATGAAGGACCATTATGACACACACATGAAATTCAATCCCTCCTACTATAGTAATCACACAACCACACTTCAATGTTAGCAATAACTGACTGCCATGTGTAACAATATCCAACATACGGTGAAAAACTACAACAACAATATCACTAGAGCAATGTATTAATTATTGTATATTAACCTTGGAACTATGAAGTGTTTCATAAACATATTTCTATTGCATGCCTTATTTTATTTATCCAACAAAATAATATGCAAATTCTCATAATTCATCAAATATTCTCAAAAAAGGTGTAATCACACCTCACATAAATATGTTTAACACGTAGAGTATGATTTGTTTGGTGAAACATGACTTAAAATAAGAAAACAACAACAAATAAATAGCAAACCAGTTTGCTGGTGTCGATATGGAACAAACTAGAACCTCTATGATTGTTATTGTTATGTGAAAAAATTTTGTTATTGTTGTTGTTGATTGTGTATTTCGAAGAGAAAAAATACACTTGATTAAATCAACAACAAAAATTGTGTAGTATTGATTTGTGTAGTATTGATTTGATGAAAAAAACTTGTAAAAAACCGAAACTATTTAGCACATATCTTTTCTGTGGTATTATTATTAATGAGATCCATTAACATATTATATAGTACAACCTAGACTTATTAACCAATATTGTGCAGCAAACAAATGGGCACTTGATTATCCACAATGACTCTAAACACCAAGCATCAAAAAGCTGCTGACCACAACACAAAGGATGATCACAATGGACATAGTCTCCGAGTGGACGGTTGTTACTAACAACCGTACATCACTAACCTAACCACAACGCATTTGCTTCATGATGGTGGTATCAACAATACAAAATAATGTTAACAAACTTGTATGCGATTAATGTTGGAAATCGTTATATTGTAATTCGACATATAAACATTTTTATATACTACACTTAGACCGATAAGTTATTTCAAAGAAAGATTTAGAAACACATTCCGAGTCGATTTATGCTCCTCAGTCCGTCTGTTTAGTATGGGTTTATACATGCAACTTTTGTAAGCAACTCTGCTGAGTTCTTAGAAGTGAGAGGTATAAAAAGTGACAAGGGGATGAAATTCAAAAGAGAATCGAAGAGATCAGCAGCAGAGTTGCTTAAAAAGTTGCATGTATAAACCCAGACTTACGAAACGGATTATTTTTCGTTTGATTATTAAAATCAAATAATATAAATTTATTTTATATTTATATAAATAGTCCCAAACACGTTTAGTGACTGTTGTTTTAATGTATTAAAAATCCAAACATCCTTAAATATTATAGCCAATGAATGTAATTAAAATTTTAAAATGTTATTATATGTACGTAAGTATATATGTGTTCATAAACCAACTAATTGTGACTTTGTCATTGTTGTTTATTCATCCTCCATCTTTAACGCTCCCATCACTCCTCTCTAATAATCTATTTGATATACATATACGATCATTAATAAATTT